AAAAGCCCCAAAATCCACCTGTTGAGATATTTTGCCTGTATTTCCTAACAGAACAGGGTGGCAGGGAAGGGGGGCCAAACCCCACTGAGCTCAGTTTTGCTGCACTCCCCAGAAGGTTCAGGGAGGTTCAAGAAGACCCCAATTTCCTTCCCCCAGGGATGCACTGGGTCCGCGTCCCTTTTTCCACGTCTTATTTTCCAAACAACCTAAAAGCTGTAATTAAGGAGGCTAAGGAAAGCATAGAGAATGTTGATCTTTCCAGAAATTAAAATCTCAGCGACGAGGCAGTAAATTAACTTAATCAAGTTGGGAGGCATCTATGAGAAATCATTTTTATACGATTTAATGAGAGGAGGCATTGGAAATGGTGATTTTAATCAGCCAAGTGGGATTTATAAGCAAGAAGATCCTGCTCAAATAACTTATTAGACTTCTCCAAAAAAAAAAAAAACAACCTCCGCTGCCTCTGCAGACAGTCAAAACAAATTTTATTGTATATATTTACTAATTCTCTCAGCCCTTTGGGAACATTGCTTATCAAAAGCGGACGGATTAAAGCAGAAGACAAAGTTAGAGATAAAAAAAAATATCTTCATAAGCACCTGCCAGAGAAAACTGAGAGGCTGCAAGTCCCCATTGACAGACACAGATGACCCAGCTCAAATATTGAGACTCCTAAATCCCTATTTATTACAAATACAAAAGCTACATTAGAGTGAGAAATATTCAACACCTTCTAATACTTTATATAATTATTAAGGTATTTGCACCCTGGAACGAGAATAAGATGGGAAATGGGGAAATGAGACGAGTTCCCCTCAACAGAAAATAAATAAAATAAACTAAGACTAGGAAATGGGCTGTATTTTAAGGTTGCCTAATGGCTCAAACGTTATTTTAGCAGATGCTCTGAGGGGCTGTCAAAATCAGGGGGAGCTTCTCCTAAAATTGCTGCTCTGCTCAGCACATGCATCCCCATGTGGGAATGAAGGCAATCGAGTGAAATTCACTGCTTTCATAGAGAAATATGAGCGCTGGGGTCCAATTTTAACCCAAAAAATAGGTCCTGGGCAGAGAACGCTGCATTCCTACCACAGAGGAAGGAATTTTTAGAGGTCTCTCTAAAAGCCGAGACTGCATCATGGTACAAATTCACCCATTTTCATGGAGTTCTAGTACTGAAATACAGCCTTTGGAGCTTCCAAATCCTATTCTATTTAATGATACAAAACGATGATGATTTTTTTCATGCAGTATTTGATAGGAGGGTAACGGACAACCACAACTCTATTATTATTATTAGCAGTAGTAGTAGGAGTAGGAGTAGTAGTAATATTAGTATTTCTATCTATTTTACCCCTGGGATGCAGGAGAAATCCACCATAAGGACAAGTGGCCTTGCTCTCTGGTTGCTGCTGTCCCATCTACACGGGTTTTGCCCATAATTAAATCAAATATTGCTCCTGTATAGAAATATATATATATAAAGAAATACATCTAAATATATAAAATAAAATATATAAAAACATATCTAGACTTCAAATATAAGGCACTGCAGCCGAGGTCCATGACAGAAGCCACCAGAACTGGGGCTTCCCAAATGTACGACCTGCTCACTGACTTTCCCAGATAAAATACAAAAAAAACCCAAGCATCGTATTCATGCCCAACCAGAAACAGCTGCCTTGTTTCCAAACAACTGCTGAACTCTTTAGAAATGCCTGAAAAACCCCGATTCTCAGATTTCATCCCACTAAACCAGAACATTCTTACACCGAGGAGGGAGAAAGCACTGATCGAATCTCCTATGGCTTTACCCACAAAACACCCAACAGAGCAAGCTGCAAATGATGTTATAGTATTTCTAATAGTCCCCTTCAAATGATTGCTTCTGTTCTGGGGCTGTGGGCTGTTAGATGCAAAATGTAAGTTGAGATAGCTCGGATAGCTGACTTCTGCAGTGCATTACTTCAATAAACACAATGGGTTTGCCCAAGCCCAGCTCTAATGGGCCCATTGCACAGCTCCAGCCTCGACTGCTCAGCAAACAGCCCCTGAATTACAGGTACAGACCCCATATGAAACCTTTCCCATTTTTTTAAATATATAAAATGCATATTCATAAACCCAAATCACAGCCGTTCCCAGCGCGACACCTCTGTCTCCCCAAACACATTTTGGTTTTAAGGCGAACGATGGAGGAGGTGGAAACTGCACTAAGGATCCCCAGGACACAGGGATGGGTCCTGGCTTTCTGCAAGTTTTAAACCTATGGAGTGTCCATTCCCCCACTCTTTAACACAAAATAAAGGGGTGTCCATCAGTGAAAAGAGCTGCAGCCCATAATAACCCCGTGACGAAGGCTTTCTCCTCCTCCTCCTCACCCCGCAGCCCCATCCATGACGTGAAGCTGGGTCTCCACCAGCCCTGCTGCCCTCCGGCTCCGCGCTCCCCTCCCTCCTCATTTAGTCACATTTTCATAGATATTTTTAACTTTCAAACCCTTTCATCCCTCCATGTTTTATCAAGATAGAGAGCACATTTTGCTCTATTTCACCCAATATTTCATCTTGTCTTGCAAAACTAGGTCAGAAAATTTGCAAGCTTATATGACTTGGGCTTCACAGAGCCAGAAAACACCACCTCTTTTTTGTGTGTGTTCTGCTTATAGTGCCCAAGTCGGAAATATTTACAGCAATAAACTCGGGAGCATACAAACACATCGCTTTGTTTTGAAATTCTAACGCGTTATTTACGAAGTTCCCTTTCTTCCATTATTTGTGTTTTAATACAATTCTGCTAGGAAAAAAACCAAACAACCCAGAGTCCTCTGGTCCGTGTCGGCCCTGCAATCCATCCCTACATGAGCCAGCTACGCTCCAGCAGGAGGTTTTCGTGAAATATCAGGGGTTTTTGTTAAATACCATGGTTTTTCTTGAAATACCGGGGAGTTCAAAGATTCAGAAATACCAGACTTGCCTCATCTGATTTCAGATTCAGATTCACCCAGTCTGAGGCTCTCAGAGGTCATCTCTTGTGCTAGAAAAGCAGCGAAACACTGCGTCACCAGCATAGAGACTGAAAAAATGACCCAAAATATCCTAAATATCCCCCGTAAGTGCTCCTCAAAGGTGGCAGCCAGGAAGTGAAGCCGGAGCCACAGCATCGCTGGGGACCGATCCCATCACTGCGTCCCTCATCGCCAACAACCACAACGATGGCTCCTCCACCTCACACATCGCCTTGGCAAAAGACGCATTGCCAAAAACCTCTCAAATATTTCCACTTTGGAGGAAAACAGGACTTTGGCCATCGCAAAGCGCTGGCAAACTTTTGGGCAATGCGAAGCACCCAATTTTTCGCCCACAGAAATTTTTCGCCCATCGTCTTGGCTGAGCGCTTGGTTTCCGCACTCACCCGTGGTCTCCACGATGCCCTCCAGGATGACGACGATCTCGAACTGCTCCGTCTGCATGCTGCGCTGGGACAGGTCGTAGAAGGGGCTCTTGGCGTCGATGACGTGGCAGATGGTGAGCGGGGACACCAGGAAGAGCTGGTCGGCCCCCGTGCTGAAGCCCACGTCCAGCTCCAGCTGGTCAAGAGGCAGGAATTCACCCTCTGGGGTCTGGCGGGACTGCGAGGGGACAGAGAGAGATCATGGATGGAGCAGCCAGCACCAGGTCATCCTGATAGCATCCTGCATCCCTACAACATTCTGTACCCCCACAGCATCCCACATTCCCACTATATCCCACATCCTCATGGCATCCTACATCCCAATGGCATCCCGACAGCATCCTGCATCCCCACAGCATCCTGCATCCCCACAGCAGCCCAACAGCATCCCACTTCCTGATGGCACCCCACATCCTGACAACATCCTGCATCTCCAAGGCATCCCACATCTCCAAGGCATCCTGCATCTCAATGGCATCCCACATCCCTACAGCATCCTGCATCCCCACAGCAACCCAACAGCATCCAGCATCCTGATGGCATCCTGCATCCCGACAACATCCCACATCCCAATGGCATCCTACATCTCGACAGCATCCCACATCTCTACGGCATCCTGCATCCCAACAGCATCCCATCAACATCCCATATCCTGACAGCATCCTGCATCCCAATGGCACCCTGCATCCCCATGGCATCCCTCATCCAGACAGCATCCCATATCCCCACAGCATCCTGCATCCCAATCGCATCTCGACAGCATTCCACATCCCAATGGTATCTCAAATCCCCATGGCATCCCACATCCTGCCAGCATCCTGCATCCCCACTGCATCCCACATCCCAGCGGCATCCATCACACCAGGCAAACCCCGCTCCATGAAAATGCAAGATCCCGGCACTGGCCGTTATCTCAAAAAGTCCTGGGCTTTCACTTCTCCCCATTCTCTTGTGTAAGGAGAAAGAGGAAAAGAAACTAAAAACCCCAACTGAAACGATGAACAAGTATTTAGGTAGAGGCTGAAAAACAGACCTTGAAAACTGCAAACATCTGGTAGTGAGAAATAAAACAAAAAAGCTCAGCCCTGCCCAAACCCTTCCCAGCTTTTATTCCAACTTTTAATTTCTCCTCCCTGTGTTATGAACAGGCAGGGACAGAACACCACAGCCTTTCATTATTTTTATTAGGGAATTTTCCATTATTTGCTACTCGGATTTAAAAAAAGGATAAGTTCTACAAAGTGTCACATTCATCCCACCCAACCAAACCCCAGTGCTCCATCACCACATCGCCACCACCCCCAGCACTGTGAGCTGATGTGAAACTTCCCATTTTCAGCAATAACCCTTGAAATGGGATGTATTTTTTTAATGGGAGCACGATTATGCGTACAGGAAGGAATATAACCTTTCCCCAAACTTTTCCCCGATTTCCAGTCTCCCCATTATTCACACTACGTGTGGAATTGGGGTAGGGTGTAGATACCCCATTGGATGGGAACCACCGCACCCATCAGCGCTCCTATGAGTGACCCCAGTGCTCCCAGTAAAACGCCTGGCACTGGGAACTGAGGGGGTGGGAGGATGCTGGGCATCCCCCAGTGACGGTGCAAGGAGTGCAGCTACAGCCAAGCCCCCCCAGAAATGGGGGTCGGGAGCCTAAAACCCAGCAGACGGAGCAAAACCGGATTACACGCCTCGCTCAGGATTTGGTTGCTATTTTTAAGATTTTCCCGCAACGGCGGCTGGGTTTGAAGGAGATTTAATCCCGAAGAAACAATTGAGTATTTCACCGCCCTCAAGTTCTGGCTAAGAAACACATTTCCATTCCTTTCTGCATGTGAAAATTCAGATTTCTCCCCACCTGCCCCTACTTCACATCGGAGGCACAAAACACCCCGAGCACATCTGCACAGAGAGCCTGCCCCTGGGTTCAGGTTGTACTTTCTTGAGGAAAAAAGCCTACTTTTTAGTAAAAAGACAGTAAAAAGGGCGATACAGCCATGGGACGGTGCGGGCTGGCCGCTTTCTGGGTGACATTGGCACCTTGGGGACACCGAGACCCCCCCATCCCACCCAGCTTGGCTTTGGGACGGGGGAAACAGTGGCCCTGGGTTGGACCCAATGAAATGCAATTAGAGGCCAGGCTTCATTAAGGAGATTGATGGTTCGTAAAAACTCTGGTTCTACAAAAAACAGAGGATGACGAAGTGGGGCGAGGTGTTATTTTGCAAAAAAATCCCAAATAAAGGACATTTCAAGAGATGGGGGAGTGATGGAAAAGGCGCGTTGAAGCCAATGCGGTACCCGAGGGACGTGGCCCAGGGATGCAGCCGTGAGCGAAGGACGGGGAGGGGGGGAAATGATGGGGAAGGGAGGTTAAAAATGGGGGGGTGCTGCTTGGGTGACACCAAGGGGGACCCCAATCCTGCTCCCACCAAAGCTCATGGGATTCCCGGGAAATCCACCACCTCCATCCCAGAACCCCCCATTGCATATGCATGGAGTGTGGTTACTTCAGCCCGGAGGGGGCTGAGGTGAAGCCTGAGAGCTGAAATATTATAGCAAATGTTATTTTATGCTACAGTAAATATCACTACGATGTTATTTCTGTCAGAGTAAATTTTAGCGATATTTACTGTAAAGAAAATATTTTAATAGTTGCTATAAATAAAACGATAGTTTAGTAATATTTCCTATAAAGAAAATATTTTAATGTTTGCTAGAGCAGAAATAATATTTTAGTAATATTTCCTATAAATAAAATGACATTTCAATATTACTATAAATAAAATGACATTTCAATAATATTTCCTATAAATAAAATGACATTTCAATAACAAACACTACTAAAATGTTATTTCTGTTCCAGCAAATATTAAAATATTTACTTTACAGTAAATTTTACTAAATTACCATTTCTGTTATAGTAAATAATATTAAAATACCATTTTATTTATAGCAAATATTACTAAAATACAATTTTATTTATAGCAAATATTACTAAAATATTATTTCTGTCATAGTAAATATTATTAAAATATTCTTTTACAACTACCCCTAAGCTGAGATAAGGATTGAGACCTAAAAATGTTACAGAGAATGTTATTAAAGTAATGGTTTATGTTACAGTAAATCTCAAAATATGATTTTATGTTTCAGTAAATGTTATTACAATGTTATTTCACAACTACCCCCAGTTCCAGGCAGCATCAGCCCAGGGCGGTGCATAAGACCCCCAATGCATTGGTCAAAAGAAAGGCCCTTGACTCAATGTACTCATCCCAGTCCTTTATAACCATGGAGAGTCATTAAATACACATATAATGAATGAATCTTGCCATGTATATATAAAAAATACAAATATATATCTAAAAATTGGGATTTCCCCTTTTGCATACAGGTTTTGCAAGCTGAAAAGCCTTTTCTCAAAGGAAAAAGCAGCAGACAAACCTGCAGCGGCCCCACAGCCAACTCTGCCCCCCGCTTTGCCATAGACCCCAGGTACAGGTCAGACAAAGCCCAACGCAGACACAACCGCAGCAGCGGCTGCCCCCACCACATCCCGCGCTCCTGCTCCGACCCTTGCCTTTTTTACCATTATGGTTATTAATTATTCCTTATTTTTTGGGCCAGGCTGCCCGGTGCAGAGAGGGGACGTGAAGAGTCCCAGCCCTCCCCATTTTTCGTCGGTTTTTGCCCCAGTTCCAGCCCTGCCACAACAAACCCAGCAGCAACGGCACCTCTGAACCCTCTGTGTTTCTCAGATTTAAAGTTCAGGAAATTTTTCTTCACGCTAAGTTTCAAGCTCCAGCTTTTAAAATACCCCCCCCCGCGGCACCTCTGTACACAAATAAAAAGGCTAATTGCCAAATTTGCAATAGAAATGACTCATTTTGAGGCTTTAAAGCCATTAAGGAGCTGAGTGAAAGGGGTCGGCCTGACCTCTCCGTGACCACAGGGTCACCAGGTGCCTGCCCAAAGCAGGCTCATTATCACGACCGGGCTAATTACACAGCATTTAATTTACCCACCTGCACTCCCGACAGGTGGAAACCACCAGAAAAACAGCAGAATTTGGGCTCCAGGGATTATTTAGGAATTAAAACCAGCGAATAGACGGCTCAAAATCGGGGTCAGCTGCAGCGAGAGCATCCAGCAGCGACCCCCAGATGAGGGAAACGATGGGGACTTCTTAAGTTTTGGGTGCCTGCACCACCCCTCCTCTCGGGCACGGATCTGATTCAGGGTGCAGGGGGGTGCTGCACCCCTCCCCAAACGCAGCCACCCTGCACCCCCCCCCGCCTCGGAAACCCGGATTTGGGCCAAAACACAGCAACTTCCGAAGCCTGCGAGCAAAAGGCAGCTGCGCTTCACCAGACGAGCACCCCTGCCCCAAAAAGTGGGGTCCCCCCCGGCAAGAGCAATAACAGTAATTATTATAATCAAGTATCATTATCACGGGGCAGGGCACCCACACGCGGGTGCTTCGCATGGGTCCAACATCACCCGAGCCGGCCCCTTCCACCCACCCCACGTTTACTTAAATTTTCCCATTATTATTTTTCCCATTAAAGCTTATTTTTCCCATTATATGTTACTTTTCCCACTATTGATTATTTTCCCCATTATCAGTTATTTTTCCCATTATTGACTATTCTTCCCATTAAAGCTTATTTTTCCCATTATTATTTTCCCCATTATCGGTTATTCTTCCCATTACTATTTTTCCCATTACTGATTATTTTCCCCATTATCACTTATTTTTCCCACTATTGATTATTTTCCCCATTATCAGTTATTTTTCCCATTATTGACTATTCTTCCCATTAAAGCTTATTTTTCCCATTATTATTTTCCCCATTATCGGTTATTCTTCCCATTACTATTTTTCCCATTACTGATTATTTTCCCCATTATCACTTATTTTTCCCACTATTGATTATTTTCCCCATTATTTGTTATTCTTCCCATTACCGATTACTTTTCCCACCACTGATTACTTTCCCCATTATCAGTTATTTTTCCCACTATTGGTTATTTGTGCCACTATCGATTACTTTCCCCATTATCAAATACTTTTCCCACTATTGGTTATTTTCCCCATTATCAGTTATTTTTCCCATTATTGGTTATTCTTGCCATTACCGATTACTTTTCCCATTACTGATTACTTTTCCCATTATCGGTTATTTTCCCCACTATTTATTATTCTCCCCATTATCAGATATTTTTCCCATTATCGGTTATTTGTCCCACTATCGATTATTCTCCCCATTATCGGTTATTTTCCCCCTCCCCTGCGAATGTGCGGCCGCTGGAGCACGTCTCAAGCAAACACCCAATTTGCCCCAGACACCCGATTCCCGCTGTCACCTTTTCTAAAGCCCTGACCCCGCCGGTCTGCGTGCCCTGAAGTTCACGCACCCAATGTATGAAGTTCTGCCTCCTTGTTCCCCAAAAGCAGGGAAAAAACACCAGAAAGGCAAGCAGCTTGCTTTTAAACATGCAAAGCACGAATTCAGGCTAGGAAGTATTTCCTTGTCGGAGAAATCTGGCGTTTTATGGAAATACATAAATATGCATGGCGACCCGGCGCTGAATATAAATCATCGCCGACGCGGCTGCGGGAAAATGATGGATGAGGGCAAACCTGGGGAGCCCGAGGAGCATCAGAGCAAGGGGTGGCAAAGCTCTCCAGCCAAAAAAGGATGCTCGGAGGGGCCGGGATGGAGACGGAGGGGGACAAGGGGACGTCCCCAGGTGGGGGAGCACCGTGGCGGGGACCGCGCTTACTTTGAGCAGCTTGCAGCGGATCTGCGCCGAGACCATGTGGCTGTTGCGGAGGTTGCCCACGCGGAACATGAGGGTGAGCTTGCCGTCCCGCATGGAGATGGCGGCGTGCTCGCTGAACATCAGCGTCTCGGCCCGCTTCTTGGGCTGGGACATCTTGATGAACATGCAGCCGATGAGGAAGGCGTCCACGATGGAGCCCAGGATGGACTGGAAGAGGAAGAGGATGATGCCCTCGGGGCACTTGTCCGTGATGTAGCGGTACCCGTAGCCGATGGTGGCCTCGGTCTCGATGAAGAAGAGGAAGGCGGAGGGGAAGTTGTAGACGTTGGCCACGCAGGGGGTGTAGCTGTCGTCGTGCGCCTTGTTGAGGTCCCCCCGCATGTAGGCGATCACC